CCCCTTCCGTCCCCACCCCTCCGCCCCTTCCTCTCGCACCTTCGCCCGGCCCGCGCCCCCGCAGCGGGCGCCCACCCGCGCTCCACCGGCGGGAACGCTGTCCGCGGCGGCGGCCGGAGTGGGCCGGGCGGGGGATGGCGCTGCAGGACCTGGCCCAGCAGGGAATGGCCGTGTTCGGGTTCGTCCTCTTCATGGTGTTGTGGCTGATGCATTTCATGGCCATCATCTACACGTGAGTGGGGGGCGCGGGCGGGGGCGAGGCGAGAGCTCGGGCGCCAGCGAGCCGGGGGCTTCTGCGCGGGGAAGGGGCCGCGCTCGGGTGGGGTGGAGCAGGGTAAGGCTCCGACCGTGTCCTCATCCCTGGTCCCCTTGAGCTGGTTTGAGCGGGACTGAAGGGTCTTTAGGAGCAAAGAGTGACCGGGGAAGAGGTTGCTGGGCTGCAGGGGACTGCGGAGCCGGAGAAGGAGGCTGCTTGGCTCCTACGTGTCAGGCGGAAGGCTGCTTGCTAGGTTGATTGTGTTGAATTCGCGTGGTTTTTCATCTGGGCCAAGATGTATGGTGTTTTTTTTTTTTTTTTTTTTCCCTGTCGGTAAGGGCTACATTTCCGATAGTGATGATGGTTTCCACTCTTCTGGGCGCTGGTTACCTGGAGAGACCTCCCTGTAGATTTTCTTCCGAAAAAGCCCTGTGTTTAAATAGGTGTAAAGCACCTGTCCATCTTGAAAAATGTCCACCAAAATCCTGACCGGCAGCGCGGGTTTCAGACATGGTAGTGTGTGCATTTCAGTATGGTTTTCTTTTGAATTTTCAGGCCTTCGTTTATTACCTTGTTCAGATTTTTGATCCTTCCCCTCCACATCTTTTCATTATTTAAGAAATACTTCCCCAGGCCTACTAGATGCCATTCATTGTTCTTGAGCTGGTGACACCGAGGGGAGCAGGACAGAATTGCTGTCCTCAAGGAGCTTACGTTCTAGAAGGAAGGGAGAAGTAAAAAAAAAAAAAAAAAAATCCAAATAACTTTATTCTAGATAGTGGTGGAGAGAAATATGGGATATGTGGCTAGATTTAATGCTTCAGTTATGTGTCTTGAAAATGAAGCCTGCCTGTGTCAGTAAACGGAAGGATTGTGGTAGAGCACATTGCTGATCTAGATTGACTTGGTTTTTTAGCCTGAAAGAAAAAAGTGGAATGGTTTTTAGCAACTGGAATAGAATGGGCATATATTAGAAGAGAGGATGATTTTTTTTTTTTTTTGAGTGGATGATTTTTAAGAAATGAGGTAGTCTTTTTCTTATTACATAAAAAGTGTGCTTTTCTCTTTTGGAATATTGAGCTTTAGTGTGGCGCTTCTTAATCCTGAAGCAAGATGCTGCTTGTAAAGATAGTGATATTTGAAAGTGAAAGAACGTGCCACTTTTCAAAATCGCGGATCTTAGTGCTTTGGAGTTTTTGAGCTGCATCTGCTGAACGCATTCTGGAGTTCATTTTTAATATGTAGGTTCTTTGAAATTTTTGATACTTTTTCCAGTCCAAAAAAAAAAAAAAAAGCTTACTATGTAAGGAATTTAGAAAATACAAAGGAATAAAGAAGAAAGGTAACATAAACACCGCAAAACAACATCACCCTGATAACCTTTTTGTTCCTCTCCTCTCAATTATACTTTTCTCTGTGTGAGGGAGAGAAAGGGGAGGGAAGAAGGGAGAGGCCAAGGATGGTGTTATGATTATTGTTTTGTACCTGGCTGCAAAAATCATCTATTTAATAAATGGTTGCTGAGAAACAGTTTTGTACAAACACTGTTGTGGATGCTAGAACTAAGAGGGAGAAAGAAGACACCCAAAGCAGCTCCTTGTGGGGAGCTATCAGGCAAGATGTCCTGGCCATTGGTTTTTCCTGTCAAAAGTATATATATCACCTTTGGGCAGTGTCTTAGTTTATGAGGTACTAATAGTTGTTACTGCTGGGCATTTGGCCTTCTTCATTGTGTCAGCGCACCACTCACTGCGTGAACTACCTTCCTTCCAGTCTTCTTCCCACCCTTCCTGCCTTCTCTTCCCGCCTCTCCCCTCTCCTAGAGATCAAATCCTGGGCCTCCCGAAGGCTAGGCAAGAGCTCCACCACTGACATCCATAAGTCCTTGTGATGAGTTGTAATTCATATATCTTTGAGAAGTAGCTCAAAGTTTCCATTTCTGAAGGAGCAATTGCATCCAAAGTGGTGTACCTTTTAGACTCTGACACATACCGGAACATCTGTTGTAGACCTGACATTGTATGATGGTCTCCATTTGCCTTACTGTCGGGCTTTTCACCTTTTTTTTTTTTTTAAATTGAGTACTTGCACTGTTCAACACTTTTTCATATTTTATGTGTTACGTACATTTGGTTTTTAAACTATATACTTACTGTCTTTTGCCAGTGCAGCAATCTGTTGCAGAGTTGTGTTTTTCAGGTAAAGCTAATTCTTCTGTTACCTGTTATATGTTGCGGGACTGTGTATGCCTGAGCACACCCCCGCGGGGGGGGGCCGTGTGCTTGTGTGTGCGCGTGCGCGTTTCACTCCAGTATGTTTTATTGTCTTTTCAACTTTGCCCATGTAATTAATCTGGAGAAAAGTGTGTTTTAAGTAGACAAGTCTTTTCTTTCCTTATATTTTTTTCCCACTTCATTGTAATACTTTTTATCCTTATTCCTAAATTAATATAATGATTGCAAAATGTTAAGTCTGTTTCCTTATGGTACTGAAGTTTTTTTGCATTTTATGCTTTAACTTGCCCAGTATTTTTCTTTGGTATATAATGAAATCTAGAGCCCTAATTTTGGTTTGTTAAATAGCCACAGGTCCCAGAATTATGAATCGGATGATAACTTGATTATTCCACTGTTTTGAAAATACTCTTTATTATAAAATTCTTTGTACTTGGGTATATTCCAGATCTTAAAGTAACATTTTATAAAATTTGTTTCTACACTGGTATCCTCTGTTTCAGTTAGTGAAAATTTTATAACTAATGAGGCAAATTTCTCCTTAGTCTTTTACAAAAACATTTTTACTTTTTATACATTTTTACTTAAAGCTGAACTTCAGAATCTTTGTTTCAGAGTCTTAGGTAATGTTTTGTGTGTGTGCCAAGAATTGAACTCAGGACCTTGTGCTTGCCAGACAAGTGCTGTACCTCCGAGCTGTATCTCTGGCCCCAGTCTTAGATAATCTTATCTTTGCATCTTGAAATTATTAGATTTATAGCTGGCCCTGGAGAAAACCGATTTTTTTCCCACCTGGGACTGTGATATGCCACCACCCCCCATTATATACGTACACTGATAAATGTCATGCTGCTTTCATCAAAATTAATATTACTGATACATCCTGATATTTCATAACCATCTGGAAATGGATATACTCAGACTAGAGATAACTCTGGAGTTGTTCTACTTTTTGTGCTTAATAATAAAGACCAAATATTGAAGTCCTAAAGTACTTTAAGCAGACATTTAATTTAGCTGAGGCACTATAGAGAGGCTTTATAGTTATTTCCAATGACCCACACAAATTGTTTTACTGATAATAACAGGTTTCCAAGAAGTTACATGAAAAAAACACAATTGACTTTATACCATGGTAGAGTGAGTTGCTTAGTACAAGAATCTTGTGAATATTTTTTGAAATGGATAACTGATGTAAAGCAAGCTGTAGACTAATGTACATATAAATTACCTTTTATACCTTCTAGTCTGAGCCTGCTTTCATAGATTTTATTTTTGCATGTCTGACTTGATACCTTTTAAAAAATTGAAATAAAGATACTATCCAGGTGTTTTCAAGCAGAGAACCAAGCATTTTTTTTTTTTTTAACACTACAGTATTTAGTAAAATCTCAATTAAACTCAACATTTAACATGCAAGGTAAAAGAACTTGGGCAACAATATTTTGGTTAAAATACTATGCTAAATAGTCTGTTTTAGTAAAGGGTATGTTTTCTGATAAATGTTTTGTGGCCCCTGTATAGTCATTTTCTGAAATAAAAAAAGTAAGAGATAGTGATAGTCTTATGAGAACTTGTGCTTGTCCTTACAGCTGGTAAAAATGGAAGCTATTTTGGAAAATATATCTGGCTCAGTGTCTGGTTAAGGAATATAATCTACAAGCTTCTAATTATTAAAATGTTTAATACAAGTATTGTAATAAAATTACTGCAGAGAATGGTAAAGCACTTAAAAACGGAGGTTGTTTTTAAAATATTCAATACAGTGTATTAGGATCTATTTAATTTCTACTTGTTTTATTGTCTGTTCTTACGAGCTAGAGCTAAATTTTCCCCTGTATTAAAAAACAAATGAATTTGATTAATTCAGTGAACTGTTCTTGTTCAGGGGATGTTATATTTTTCTGGTTTCACTAGTGTCTTGCCATTTCTATAAGCCTGCAGATTTAAAAATCAATAACTTACTAACTAGACAGCCAGTATATCCGAGGTTTTGAAACCATCTCTGCTCATTGGTATCTGTCAGCTGTCTTGCTCATTCCTGAGACTTAGTCATTTAATATTTCAGATGGCAGATGTGAACTTGTCAAAAGGGTCTGATTCTCCAGATTTTTAATTTTCTCAAACAAGTAGGATTTATTTTGTTTTATTTTTGAGACAGGGTCTTGCTGTGCATTTTAGGCTGACCTAGAATTCACTGTGTAGCCCAAGCTTACCTTGAGCTACTGCCTGCCTCAGGCTCCTGAGTGCTGGGATTATAGGCATGGGCCACCAACAACTCTGTTTATGGCTAACGGACCAGACAGAATTGATGAAGTGATTTTGCCTTTATGTAGGGGACAGGAGTTTTTATGTACATCCAGCTTGTCTTGAACTTACTGTGTAGCCCAGCTCGGCCTCGAATTCCCAGTTCCTGCCTCAGCCTTGAGAGTGCTGGGATTACAAGCGTACACCACCACCACGCCTGAATGATTGGCGTGATCTTTATGAGATGTTTTGTTTTGTGAACTATAGTATGGTTAGATAGTTGGGAAGTATGGTGAAATTACACAGAAGTTTGAAACTAGTTTTCTTGCCTTTTATCCCTTCTGGAATTATCTTGCTGGGTGATACAGATATCTAAGCAGGACACCTTGCCTTCTCTCCTCCCCTCTCTATTCAAAAATTACATTAGGTTATGTATTTTTTCTGTTAGTTGACTGAAAGTGCTAGTAGCAGGAAAATACTTCCCAAATCCACAAA